TTTCCGGCATAAGTTTTTTTTACATTATTTAAACAAACGTAAAATTCACCAACTGAGTTTAATTAAAAACATAAGTTAAACATTGTGAATAGATAACGCAAATAGGATACAATAAAATAAAACACTTTTAACGGTTTAAAAAGCGAAATGTATTAATTAAGCTATTTGTAAATAAATTTATGAAATAAATAAGAAAAAACGATGGACCTTGATATCCATATAAAGCCAGGAAAGCGCTAACTATGGTTAAATATTTAACTTTGTAACACATCCAAATTGTGTTGTAATCTAAATGAGATAATGAAGCCTTGGAGGTAAAAGTGAAGAATTGTTTTATTGTCAAGTGAATGAAATGGCATTTATGCAGGTATGTCATTAAAAATTTCAATGACACGGTCAAGACTCGAACCCGCGTTTCTGGCTTGTTAAATGAAAAAAAAAACAATTCATCTAAAACCTATACCTATGAGTAATATAATATACAAAAAGAGGCTTTACAATAGAGTCCTGCCGGGACACATCAGGATTGTAATAAATTGTAAATAAGTCAACTTGTATTTCGTGTTTTAAACCGTTAAGTGTCTTTCTTGAGACTTAGTTTTATATTAGTCTGAAACATCAAATGGGTGATAGGTCTATCTCAACCTTCTGTTTATATTGCTAAGCATCGATCACAGACTGGTAAATTTTGAAGTCTCAACTTACACACTTACAGTCTGTGGATTACCGAATCGAAAGCTAGAATAAGTCCATACCACATCGTAATTAGATTATATGTCTATTTGCTTTATAAGCAGTAAACTCTATCTACCTTTGTGATGAGTTTAACAACTGCGACTTGTAAAAACATGATGCAGCTAATATTGAACGATTACCCCCTAGGTAAGACTGGTAAGATCTAAATAACAAGGAAACGTGACGAAGGCGATCCACGTTATCTAAAATACTGCCTACTAAAGGCTGTAAAATAAATCTCTTTATAACTCTCAGTTATATTAGTTGCGAGATAATCAAACAGCGTCACAGTGTGTTCTAGTTATATCTGAATTTTTTGCGTAAAATTTCGTAACAAAAACGGAAATCCCTACTAATAAATTTATCGCTTAATTACAGACGTTTATATCTTTACTGGTTGATGGGCATAATTACGCTTATATAAGTACCTATAAATGTGACTCAAAGGTAAATACAATAAAAGGTATAGCACTTTGTTAAACACGATAGATTCTAACATCATATCCCAGGCTAACACAACATCAAAATCAAAATTAAATCTACCGATGTAGCCATGTCTTGCTAAGGATTCGCGTTCCTAGATTCGAATCCCGGGCAAACAATGTTTTAGTTACATCGGGCACAAATGATCAACTACCTACAGGGCTTGACGAAATGGACGTAAAATGTGTTCGTCTGACGTACTACAACGGACACTATGGTACAAAAACCTGCCTACTTGTCTGTATTTAACATTGGGCATTTTAATAGACGTAAAATGGTTATGATTTTTTTATGTCGAATTTCATAATACCTAGTGCGTTTCATTTTTCTTATAACTCTATTTAGATAAGAATCGTCAATCTCTGTGGGTCTTTAAAAGAAAATTTGAATCCATATTGGATATTCAAATTCCGAGGGCACTCCTTTGATCCGTGAAATTCAATTACTCAGCTATCTACTCTCTAACTTTCACCCTCCTTTGTGGGGGATGAAAATATTTTTACAATAATTAAGTTCAACTTAAGTATGCATAAGGTGGGTGCATTACAATAATGACATTATTTACTAACTATATGCCAACAAATTGCATATGAAATCATCTATACAAAACACTTTTAATTTATTTCTCTCGTGCCCATGGCAGCTACAAACCAATCGAAACGTCAAGCCACACTTAAAACGCAATAAAACAAGTATATTCATATGTTTCCCATTTTTAACCGTCAACATTGTTTTATTAACTACTCGTAAACAACAATCAATACTGGTGTGATCTAGTTATATCACTGTTTTTAAATACCTTATAGTAGAATTAGGTATTAGTAGGTGTCTCTATACAATAATTATAACAGTCTTAACTGTTGAAAACGATATATTACCCAATTAATAGATTTTTACATGCGCTTAACAAAAGCATAGAAAAATACATACCTACCTACAACATTAAAATAATATAGACAGGTTACATCCGCGCGCCGAGCCAGTTCATTCATTGAGCATTTTATGAAAATTTATATAATTATTATCTGTCATATATGTTTCTTAAAAATAAAACTTTTTTATTCTTTCAGAAAAATGGATAAGCTTGGCATTTGAAGACACGTCCGCCATAATATAACATCTTAACAAGACCTATTTCTGCTTTGGAAATTCGGAATTGCACAGATTGAAACCGTATTATTAAACATAATATATAACACATAATATATAAATTCAGAAATTAACACTAACTGTCGATTAGCGTACCCTTAATTTAATCTAAGTACCTACTTAGTGTAGCAATAACGAGGAAATTAATATGTAATCAGTCCATTCCTTCTTATTAATTAAATACATAATGTGTTGTATTTAAACAAGTTTAATTTATTTTAATAGTCAGAATTATTTTGTTCCTGATAATGTTGTAGTACTATTGTCTTTGAAGTCCCGCTTGTTCACGTGGGGCATGGGACGAACACGTTCCGTATCCGTTTCACTGGTTACTTTAAAGTAGTTAAGCGGACTTGCCCTGCTGACTGAAACAATTTATTGTTGCCCCGGGATACGGAACCAGGACCTCTCCAAACTCGGTCCGAATGGTCCTGGATGCATTAAACTATATATCTTAAAGGTTTACTATAAATGGAAAATTAAATATTTTATCATAGCACGGTGTAGTGGTGCTAAAAGTTGTAAATAATTATCTTTTGGACCGCGTCGTATTACGTATGCAGTTTCTTACCTAATTACTTATGTTTTTTATGTTATGTTCAAACCAATTATTTATTTTTAATCCATAAAACAAACAAAACGCATGCTTTTTATGTGCTTACACATATTACATAGGAATAAGTAGGAATCACTTGTATCTCTCTCTCATAATGCCTTACATGTTCCCTTTGGATTTATTATCGTCGCCTGTTAAATAAAGCAATTCTGACAGTATAAGCGAGAGACGAAAAGACGAAATTTATTGCGTAACTTATTATTGCTCAGGTATGCCTTGACGTTTAGACCCACCGCGACCACGAATGTTTCTATATACGTAAAATATTTGAAAATAAATGTGTAAGTACAATACGTAGGTAAATACCTTACGATTTAGGATTGTATTTTGTTTTTAATCAATTGTGAATTAAATAAACATTTGGTAGCGCATATAAACAGATGATGTTAAGTAGGTATTGCATTACACAATGAAGCTTATACAATTTCTGTAATTTGAATCATCATTCGTAAGAGTTCCTAGCTCTACATCAACAAGGTGTCGTAGAATTCGTTTGATCAACTAAAAGCCGTAACAAACATCTACACTGCATATAAAATTAGTATTTCTTGTGTTAGTATCTAAGGTGAAAATCGGATGCGTTGTAATCAAGGGTCAGTACAGTTCGTGTTAGCAAATGTTTGTGTCGGCGCTTTTGATCCGAGCACAAAGGACGCCGCTCGTGTCGGGTCTCACCTGACCAATGTTTGCATATTCGCTTCCAAATGTACTCCATATTCGTACAGACCGACACAGGACTATTTTATCTTCGTTGAGACAATGCTTATTGTGTTTTGTATGTTTATCTTGTAAATGCGTTGTGTTTGAGATAAGTTTCGCAAAAATTGTTATAATATTTTAAGAAGTAATATTGATAATGAATATAAGATTTAAATAAAACACTTTTCACAGTTTAAAATTAAAATCCGTAAAACTACATGTATGTTGGGTTCGAACTCGGAAAAACAAACCTTATGATTAGATTAGAGAGAGAGGCATTTTAGAATTTTAATCTACTGTATTCCAATATATCAATGAAACAATGAAACAGTCACATAGGTATGTCTGTAGCATGCTTTATGTAGATAATTTTCGATTTAACTTAGGTATTGATAATAGTTTTAGGTACACTCTTTTGAGAAAACAAAACCTTCAAAAGTTCATATTTGTCAAAATTATTGAAACTATACTAACTCGCGGTGTCGACGATTCAATGACTTATGCAATGATAAAAATGCAACTTATCTTGTGACTTAAGTACCTACTTAATGTGTCTGCTACATTTGGCATGCTTTGATAAAAATAAGAAATATAGTGCCATTTTTTACAATATGCATTAACTCTGTGTATCAATTTACTACAGCTATATTTTTAATTATTTGCCCTTTGAATGTTATTAAGACTTAACTTAATAACATTAAGACTTACTTCGTAGCTATCTATTACTATTTTTACATTGTAATGTACTTAGTTATAATTAACTAAGCATGCGTCATAATCTTATTTTATTATTTATATTTTACAATATCTTAAACCTTATAATTTCATTCAAATCGAAGTACCGCGCTATGCTATTGTAAATACCTAAACCGACCGTCTCAAAGGGCCTTGCCTACAAAACGCAATTACGAAAGCAATTTGCTCAACAAACAGCATTAACGTAGATGCCTTGTTACCGAAATTTGGCATCGAAAAATGCCTTATACAGCTTAAAACGACAGAGTCCTACATTTCACACCTCGCTATAGATGGTGGAACCCTCTCGTTTTAGACTTCTACCTATACGAGATAGCTGACAATCGATGTGGAAGGCAGTTCGCAGTAGACCCCGCCTACTGGGAGGTGCATAGCTGCTACGGGAGCCCCGACGGGCGCCCTGTGCCGCGGCATCTTTGATCTATCCCCACCGACGCTCCAACACAAGCCCCGATAACGAACGCACACAAGCCCATAACACATCGCGCGCTCTAGCAAGCCGGTTGTCAGTCGAACCGGTTTGGTGACAGTGTCAGTGTAGTGTTTTACTGTGGATTGAACTATGGAAATGGATAAGGCGTACAGTGTGGACAGTTCCGACGATATCAACATCGAAGAGGAAGAAGAAGAAATCATTGAGGATAATCACAGTGAGTTTTGTGGACTGTTGACTTTAGCTTTATAGGCGCGAAGTATTCGGCTCTGTAGTATCTTTTTTACAGCGTTGAATGTGATAATTATTTACAATACGTCGTTTGTTTATGAAGATTACAGTTAACAGATTAATTTTAATTATATACTTGTTCGTGTTTTAGTATATGTTTGTTTTTTAACTTTCGTATGTTTATATAACAAGTGGCTAACAACACATTGTTTAGATTTTTTATAAGGTTAACATGCAATAATTTTTTTTATTTTCAATAATATTTACTTCGCTATAATTATACCAAAATTTAATTTTTATTTTCTTTCCTTAGGCTATCCGCCCGATTTTCCACTTGAGGCGCTGGTGAAGCTCGAAAGACCATCACCGCCTCTGCCGACACCGCCCCACACGCCGACCGACGACACCCCACCAGCGGTAGTCGTATCCCGGCATCAGACCTGGCCAGCGCCCCAATACCCCAACTACAGACCCATGCAGGCTCCATACTCCTACGACAAAGTCCCATACAACTATCCCACACCTTACGTCCAGCCTCAAGTGGCATCGCTACCTCCATCCGCACCGTACCACGCTATGCTCGTCAACCAGTGGATAAGGAACGCCGCTCTATACCACCATTCGCTCAGATACCCGATGGCCCAAAGAATGCCTGGACGGAACCCGACTCCGATGCGCGGACCAGGAGTCGCGGGGACCAGACCAAAGAAGCAGTTTATATGCAAATACTGCAACCGACAATTCACCAAGTCTTACAACCTGCTGATTCACGAGAGGACGCACACAGACGAGCGGCCGTACTCTTGCGATATATGTGGAAAAGCCTTCAGACGTCAGGATCATCTTAGAGATCACAGGTAAGCTATTCCGTTATAACCTAGAGCTCTTTGTTTGGTTTTTAACGTTCGCGACAAGAAAGTTAAAAAAGCGTATTAAACTAAAACTTTTTGTGAGGTCGCGACGCCGCACGCGCTCGAACCGGTTCTGTCCGCGTCCATTTTCACGTTGCTCCGACGAACAAATTACGTGCCATATTTTATTTTAACGATAGTGTTAATCAATAATGCACTCTTAGAATTCAAACAATATTGGTATAGTGAACGTATTACATTAATTAATCTTATTTCTCTATTCTTTCAGGTACATTCATTCGAAGGAAAAGCCGTTTAAGTGTACCGAATGCGGTAAGGGCTTCTGTCAGTCAAGGACGTTGGCAGTCCACAAGATCCTTCACATGGAAGAATCACCACACAAGTGCCCGGTTTGCAACAAAAGTTTCAACCAGAGATCGAATCTGAAGACGCACCTGTTGACGCACAGTGACGCGAATAAACACCACCTGGAACACCTCGAGGGATGCCAAGAGGTGTCTTCGACCAGTCAAGCCTCCGAGAGTCCCCTATTAGATCTATCGCAGAAGCCGTCGCCACCGCCGCAAGCGTATCAGCTTGCGTCGCAGCCTTCCCCAGTCGAGGCACCGAAAAGGCCTTTAGGGTTTTCTATAGAAGACATTATGAAACGTTAGTTAAAATCAGTCGCTCGTACAAGTTATTTATTAATCTACCGAGTACCTTTTCTACCAAAGACACTTGTTCTATTAGGAGTTTCAGTATTATTTTATTCTTAGGTACTCCTTAAATTCCAAAGCTCTCAAATCACTTGGATTATCTCCGCGAAGGCTCGATCTTTTGAAAGACTGATTATCGTTTAAATTGTTATGTTTCATAGAGATTTATTTATTGTGATAGTTTCTCTTAGGTTAGATTACTGAAGTTACCAAAAGTATTACCGTTAATAAGTTAATTCCAAATTAGGGCTATGACGAAGAATGTTCACTGTAGTTTAAGTGTGGATTATTTTGTAAATATTAGTTAAGTTTAGCTTAAGTTAATTTAAGAGGCTAATACAATTAAGAAAATCATCGTACAATTATTTCGTTGTTTCATTTTATTTATCGACGTGACGTCATCGATAAAAAATCTTTCGGATTTAAAATTCTATGTCAAAGGTGAAATTACTAAATTAGTCCACATCAGTTTAAAATATAATGATTATTATACGAGACGAGTTAATGTTCATTAGATCATTAAATATACAAAAATAATCAACGTAATCGTTAGATTTGACACATTCCTTAGTTAATCAGATTTAGCGTAATACGATTATAAAAAAAAATACACATATTATTTCACTAACTCACAAAAAAACTAAAAGAAGAAAGTAATTCTATTTGAAATTGCTTATAACTACTCAAACTATTCCTATAATTTTAAAAGACAGTAACGTAGACAGTACACATTTAAATAGAACACTTTTAACGGTTTCAAACGCATATATATATTACTGAACTTATTTACAATTACTTTTAAGTATGCCCTGACGTTTTTCATGCTTTGCAGCAGCAGTGATCATGGGGGCGATTTCGTACCATCGGGCTGTAGTTAAAACAAATTGTAAATAATTTAACTATTATATTTCGGGTTTTAAACCGTTACAACGTGTTTTATTTAAAAGAATATAGGGTGAATAATATGTAAAATACAATAACTTCGTTAAAACCTATAATGTTATCGCCCATTTCTGTTCAAAAAATGGTGATCTAATAATTTTTTAGAAACAGTGAGTTGACGATAAGTTTTGGCAATTATCTGAAATTGTTGGTGGCGGTTCGCTCTTACTCATCAATGTTGTAACATTGTGATAAAATATAGGTAATATAGATTAGTAATTAGTTAGTAGTAGTAATAATATTGCTTAGTAGAATTATAGTCATATTAATGGTAGATCAAGCATTGAGGACATATTTTTCATAACACGACTGAAAGAAGGAAAAAATAACATTGAAGTGAAAAATAAAGTTGTAGATCAGTAGAATTAATATTTATATTGATATAGTTTTATGTGTTAATGAAATATCTATTGATAGAACAACAGTGCGCTATAGTCGTGGGTTTGAGATCTGCCTGTGTTTTAAAATACAATACTGTTTACATTTTTATGTGAAATTAAATATTCAATTTTCAATAATAAATAGAACAAAATATTTTTAAACGATCAAATTGTTAGAAGAAAACTTTTAAGTTACTATATTTTAAAGTAAAATAAATTAATACACAGGAATTAGTAACAAATTTTTGAGCATCATATAATAATTGGGTCAACGCGCCATCTGGTGGACGTTCCTTGAACTTTAATATGTCATTTGTCACGATGGGATGTCGCTACTGGTAACGTTTTACCATCTGTTTTAAGTTTAAGATAATTATATGTACAATACATATATGTATAGATATATGTAGTTGAATATGACCTAACTTATATCTGATTGAGAATTTTTAATAGTCTTAATGCTTCATGCTTTAAATAAAATTGAGGGCCGAGGTTTGAATCCTGGAGGAACTAATAATATTGATGACTTAAATCCTACGTTTACCTATTTAAATTCTATCAAGCAGAACCAGAAAATAAATTTAAAAGTAAATAAAAATTAAATTGAGTATAAAGAAATAAAATTGCACATAGGTTAATTAGGTTTTCCATTAGGTATTCAAATCGAAAGATGTTACGGGCTTCCGAGATAACATTGTGCAATAATAATTTACTACCTCAACTAAGTATATATGATCTAGTTTGTTTTTATTTTAACTTTAAACTTTCTTTTAATGGAAAATTTATAGGCATCAGTGAAAAACATAAGCAAACTTATACTTAATTAATTAAATGAGCAGTCTCCAGCATTGCACTGCAAAGCACCCAAAATTTCGGGTCCTAGTTATAAGTAATGTAACTAATATCGTGTTTAAAACTGTTGAAAGTGTGTTCTGCTGGCGTAAACTTACCTAACACTATTAACTCCCTGCCTAACCCTTCCCAGAACAATTATTTAGATTCTGTAAACGGATAGTAGATTGGTTTAGATTACCTCGAACGCACGAACGGGTTTGACAGATGCTACATTTAACCCTGCGCGGGCACAATTTAGCAGTCAATGAAAATTGCACAAAATCTTCTGATTGAGGGCTAAACGCAGACAAGATCGAATTCCATACAACAATTTTCCCATGACTATTGCGAGGTTATCCCGAAACTTCGATAATCGCTCATTTTTTCGTTTTGCCCCAATTAATACCAATTCGGTGTGATTAAATTCGAATTTGGAAGGACTCTGCCGCCATATTTCAAGTTATTTTATCTGACGTGCGCCTGCGCGCTGACGATTTCGTTGATTTATTAACGCATTCTATTGATTTATCGGCGTTAATTCAAGGAGTTCTGTTCTATTTCACCATTTAATTTACGGTTCCATAGTAGCGAAGATGTATGGCGGATAGATCAATTATTTGATATTTTAATACAATAACAATTTATTTTAAAGCAAAAAAACGCAGGTGTTTACATGCCTCATGTTAAATAAAAAATTAATAGGTGAAAGTAGTATTTATAGATTTTTTTTATATGCTAGTATTTGTCTGTAGTTTACGCGAATAGCACACATTTTGATCAAACACGACGTCGAATTGTAATTAAATTAATAACAACTGGTATATTTTGCGTTTTAAAACATTTTAACGATTATAAAAAATATGAAAGCCAAAGCCGATTTCAAAAGCGCATCTTGTTGAGCTGCTATATGGCTGGCGTATTTCATCTTCCGTGAAGTGTACCCCGTACTAGTGTCTCCTTTTCTACCATAACAATTGTGAAATTATACCAGCCTTCAAAACTTTTATATCACCTTTGTTGGCTTAAAAGTTACCACCGTCCTACGGGAGACTAGTCACCTTATTGTTTTTTGATTACACATAAAAAGTGTAGCTCACAGCTAACATAAATCTCTATCAGAAACCGCAGTAAAAACGGCCGTAATTATCTTAAGTGTAATAAATTTCCAAATAATGATCCTTTGTTTTGAGTTGTGCTACTTGACGTTTGGCTGCGGGCGAGTAATCTTCATTAAATTATTTTATTGTTCACCTATGACTTTTGATATTTATACATAAACAGTCATAGGTAAACAACAGTGGCGTGATTTGTGTGTATGTCTATATATCTTTAGTATTATTTGAATTATTTTATGGCGAAAAATGATACAAGATAGCTAAAATAGCACAGCCACATAATATCTCTACGTTGAATGCCATCGATTTAGTTTTCGACAAAGAAATTCCCAGACTGAAACTGACATATAGATTTAATATATTTTTCGTGAATCGGACGGAATTGCGATTATCTTCCACCCATCGAAGCTCAAGATTTTCAGACGAAATCCAAAGTGTTTGAGAAGTATTATAAATTTATCATCAGAAACATTTACGTAAAATATGTTTAACGATTAAGAACGTAGTAGCATATTTTTAATTTATTCAACTACGACCAGACGTTACTGCTTAAGCAGTAACGTCTCGGAGCAAGACTAGATTTTTGACAGTAGGGACACCGTCCATCATCAAACTTCAGTCACTCCATGACCACGGCTGCTGCAAAGGATCCGAACCCACAGATCGTAGTTAAAATACCTATTTTGTAAAAAATAACTAATATTATAGAGTTTCAAACCGTACAACGGTTTTAATAGAATGTACCAAAAAAAATATACCCATTGTGAATCGAACTTACGATCTGTCGATAATTAGCTATACTGCAATGCGAAATTATTTTTTTTTAGGTTTATTTAAAACTAGAGAATAAAGTGGGTTTAAAAAAGCGTCCGTTCACGTGGTTAAAGTCGTATTAATGTTTTAAAAATCCTCGCGAGTCGCACGCGCCGGACTCACGCAACTCCGATTGATTGACGGCTGCCAATCCACAAATCATCGCTATAATAGGTTCATTTGGGCCAATTAGGGTCCCAGTCGCACCCACTCAACTGAAATATAGCCCGACCTCACATTTGAATATTAATATATAAACGGTGTGACTCGCGGCTATGTGTATATTGTTACTCCTCGAGAAAAACGGATGATAGAATGCAAATTTAACTAAAGTATAAGTTATGTTTTATAAACTCCTCATTTTACTTATTTTAGACTTACGGTATGAATAAAAATGAAACTCTCAACGCATTCAACGTTTGGCAGACTTCTTTTCGAAGACAACTATTTTATTTGTTTAAATGCACTTATTCAATTAATATTTCATTTGTAATTCTATTCTTTTCTTTGTCTTGTGTTCTTTCTGAACAGCTTCTATTCTATTCTAAATGCAAAACAAATCGGAGGACGAATGGAACGAAAATGAAGGTGGAAGAAAATGGTTTGTACGCATTAACTAGATGTGTCCGACTACGTCCGCGTAGAATAGTTATTTTAGGCGTCAAAATTAGTTTTAGTAAACCTCCTTCTCTCTTCAATTACAACTGTTAGCGATGACGTTAGTTGAGGACATTTTTTGCGATAATTTATAGAGGAATCAATCTTACATATATATTTTTGGGTATCTTGAATCGTTTTTGCAAAGCACGCGACGGAAACCCAAGACGCAAAATTTTGCCAGTTTTTTCCACATTTCTGTCTGTTTTTTTGCTCC